GGCCGGAGAGCTGCCGGAGCCGCGCTTTCATTTAAATTTAATTTTTTAACGCTTCCTTCATAACATCAACAATTCATTAATTATTATTTGCCTGTTCATTTGGCTGTGTTTTCTTTTCTGTTGCTTTCTTTTGTTTAACATTGATCATGTTTCACCCTGTTTTTCATTCCCCCCCTGTCTGCAATCAACTCCTCCATTCCAATCAGGCTGGGCACAGAGTAAGTTTACTCCTCTTGGCTGTTGCTAACACCGGTGGTAAGGGCTTGGTAATGTTCCGACTGTCAGATGGTACCTACGAATGAGGGGTTCACGCTCCAAACTGCACCCAAATCCCCAGCACGAGCCAGACGTAACATTCTCTGCCGCTGTTTTACATTGGAGAAACCCATGATTGTTAAGCACCCTTGGACGCTTTTCATTTCTTTTTTTGTGTTATTGTAGCTTGCTGAGCTTTTCTGTAATTAATGGGAGCTCACACGTGATTTGGAGGCAGATATGGGGCCTGCCAGTTCATCTGCAGAGGAAATGGGCTTTGCTGAACGTGCACACTCGGCTGATTTCCGTGGGGTCAAGTGTTTTAAGTGGCAGTATAATTTATTAACGTTAAATACATAACTGCTGTTGCATGTCTAAGGCCCGTAACCATCAGTAAGAGAACCTATCTATCACCATTTTAATAATCCAAATCACTTATTGCCCATTTTATCCTTGCATTCAAATATATCATCTCTAGATTGATGCTAGTAAGGGTATTTTTCACTGGGAAAAATGTGTCTTTTTCTTTTTTTTTCTGAGTTAGTTTTAAATTGGTAGCTCATTGATTAAAAATCTCTTGCGTTGCTTTACTGGTACTTTCAGCCATCTGTTCTCTAAAGATGTGCAGCGTTGATGATGGCGCTGAGACATCCTTAATCTGAAAAAAAAAAAAAAAGGAAAAAAACCCCACCCAAGCTCCCTCTGCCTTTTTTGATGGCTGTTAGCCGGAAAATAGCTGCATGGCCTACACATTTAAAAAACAAGTATTAAAAAAGGTAATTTCTTAGCATGGTTACAGCTTTCGGATGCGTATCTCTCTGGGCTGTGTCTGACAGGCACATTTGAAGGCTCTGGTTTTAGGATGTGTCCTACTGCCAGACCCTCGTGGCTGGGAGACAAACCGACTCCTTTTGATAGGAGCTGTTCCTCCAGTTACCGGGATGACAGCCTCTAGGTCAGTGTTTTCACAGTGCAGGGCTGCAATATCCCACATTTTAGAGATCTTGCCATGCCCTTTTTGCGTAATTAACTTATTGCTATGTTGCTTGCATTAATTATTTCTTTATTTGTGCATTTAAAGCTTGTGGTATTAAGCTGTGGTCTTACTTCATCTAAATCCTCGATTTTGAAGCTCCCATTGGATTTGTTTTCTCCTTGTGTCTGCTGAACTATGAGTACATCCAACTGGTAACAGAACCACTGTGTGCAGGAAGACTGACTGGATTAGCTTCTCTGCAGCGCCTTTTTATTTTTAATTTTTGTTAGACTTACCCTGTTGTTCAGTGCTTGCTCCAATACAGACTCTGGACAAGCTTTGTATTCTGGTCAGCCATTAACACATGTTGCAGATTTGTTTTTTTGTTTTTTTGTTTTAACGATAAGGGAGAAAGGTGAAGGTAATTAAAGTAGAAAGAAACTGGGATGAAGAGTTTTAAAGGGAAGTGGCTACAGTTTAGCCTGGTCTGTGCCTAAGAACATGTACTAGAGACATCCTGTTGTGGGTTTTTTTTGATTTTAAGGAGAAAAAACAAGTGGGGTAGTTTATGGTAGTTCCATAGTGAGTAAAATACAAGTAGTAACACATTTCTGTTGTCACACCTTGCAATGGCTTTCAGCACCAAACCAAAAAAATTACATAGACTTGTGTTTGCAAGGCCCCCCTTGGACAACGGTTCTGTGAAAGGGCCCGTTTTCCCTCGATATAGCAATATTCCATCACCATTTCATTCTTATTTCAGTAGCTTTTACGTCAAAACGCAAAGTTTTGCAACTGGAGAGCACGTTGCGATGCTGCTTGCCGGTGATTCTCGCCTTAACAAGTTTCTGTAATGATCTTTCTTCCTTGTCATGACACCCGATAAGTTGGTGTTGGTATTAGGAGATCTTCACATTCCGCACCGATGCAACAGCCTCCCAGCCAAATTCAAAAAACTGCTGGTTCCAGGAAAGATCCAACACATCCTCTGCACGGGAAACCTCTGCACCAAGGACACTTATGACTACCTCAAGACCCTGGCTGGGGACGTCCATGTTGTCAGAGGGGACTTTGATGAGGTAGTGTCCTGTCTCAATAATGACTTCTTTTTTGTGCATCTCTTACATAAAGGCAACGTTTTTGAGTAGAAGCAGGTGAACTGAGGGTGGGTAGTACTAAGAACACATGAAAAGCAAACAGGGCAAAAGAGTTGGGGTTACGGTCAATAATGCGAATTGCGTGGGAAGTTCTCATCCGCCGTCGGCATGAATAAAAGTGATTTGTGCCCTTGGCGATGTCTGGGACTCCAGCAAACAGGATCTGCTGTTGTCAGGTCTTGCAAGGTCCTTGGATCCCACCACATTCTCCACAGCATTCGTAAAAGCAGCTTTGTAGCAGTAGGGCTGGCTCCACCAAGTGTTTCCTTAAGCTTCCCCCACCTCTTCTTGGGTGTAAATATAAATCTGTATGTCTGAAGCTGTGCTGGGTTTTTTATTTATTTCCAGAACCTGAATTATCCTGAACAGAAGGTTGTAACCGTTGGACAGTTCAAAATTGGGCTGATTCATGGCCATCAGGTTATTCCTTGGGGTGACATGGCCAGCCTGGCTCTGCTACAAAGGCAGTTTGACGTGGACATCCTAATTTCAGGACATACGCATAAATTTGAGGCGTTTGAACACGAAAACAAGTTCTATATCAATCCAGGATCAGCTACAGGAGCCTATCATGCCTTAGAGAAGTAAGTGTGGGAAAGAGCTGTGGGGATTCTCTTTTTGCTAACAAAACTGAGCTGCAGAGCTCCTGATGAAGGTTAGCGTTTACATTGGCACTGTCGGGGAGAGGAGGGGTTGGTAAATTGACTGAAACTTAAATCTGAATCTTAAATTCAGAGCTGATGTACTGTGCTTGAAAAATTCATATCCATTTTTCTTAGAGTGTTTTTGTCAAGCAGTGGTGAGACACTGCTAAGGCAATAATAGACACACAATTAATATGATTTTTTTTTCCCCACCCCTCTCTCTTTCCAGCAACATCATTCCTTCATTTGTGCTGATGGATATCCAGGCTTCTACAGTAGTTACGTATGTCTATCAACTAATCGGAGATGATGTGAAAGTAGAAAGAATCGAGTACAAAAAATCTTAAAAATGTTTTTTGCTTGTCTGGTATTTTTACCATCTCATTCTGAACTGCAAGTTACTCCAATACTTGATTGCTAGTTTACAGTATTCCACTTGCTAACAGCTTAACAATGTAGCTTATCGGTGATAACTTCAAAACAATGTTGTGTTTGCTTTTCTCTGTCTGAATTGATTTGTAAAATATTCCATTAAAATAACTGTTTAAATACTGTTCTTTAATGTTGTAATAAACTCCACTTCATAGAAAAACTAAGCTTCATGAATTGTCGTTGGGGGGCAAAAAAAGCAACAGTCAGAGTTGCTTTTGAAATGGTTTGGTGAGCCCTAGAGGATACTTGTAAAGGACTTGAACAATAATATTGAGGGCTCAGAATCCAGCTGATATTTATATTTTCTCAATTTAATATTCCCAGTTAAGTTAAAAGAATAAAATTAATTGATAGATTCTGAAAATAATACAGTTAATTCTTACAGTAGTAATTTCACTGCAGGAAGTTTAACTTTGGCCTTTTTACAATCAAAATACAGTTTCAGCTGCCACGATGCTTTAATGAGTTATGGTCTCATTAAATCTATAAGCAGGGAGCCTTTCCTTTATTTATGGGTTGTATCTGACACTGCATTGCTATGCACATTGCAAGGCGTACGCAGGTTTTAAATAATTCCATGCCACTCGTACTGCTACTCCTGAAGGCTGAAACGGTGGTTGTTCAGAAGTCTGGACCTTCTGGCTCTCCTGTTCTCGTGACTGCAGGGCAGGGAATGTATTTTAGCAGCTCCCATTTCTCACAACTGCTAACTTTCCAGTAAAACCAGAGTTTTGTCTTTTACAAAAGAACATTTAGAATGGTGGCCTGTTTCTTTGGCCTTTGTATCATGACTTTCTCCACTGCAGTATCTCTGCAAAAATGTCTGTGGTATTTGTTGTGAAGGTTCTGAGTTAAGCTAATGGTTTTCCATTGAAGGGATCAGCTAGAACCCTCATGTTGGTGTTACAAGCTGACTAAATATATTACTAGTATTCAGAATAAACCTGCTTTACCTTAGGAAAAGACCAAGTGTTTCAGCCTGGTGTCTCGGGAACCTCTGGCTGACTGCTATTTCATGCAGTGAAAGAGTTGCCCAGTGCCTTATCCTGCTGCAAACACAGAGAAAGAACAAAGACAGGAAAACCTTGGCACCTGTTATTCAAGGGAGGTTAGTGACTGAGTGGAACATCAATTTGCCGACAACTTTGTAATTAAAAACGGTTTCTAGAACACCAAGGCCAGAATTGTTAAGTAAGACTGTTTATTTTTGCTCACTGTAGTTAAAATTGCAATTTGTCTACAAAGTATATTTTACATGAATTATACCACTTTTAAAGAAAGTTTATCACAATTACTCAAAGTTAAGATTGTGTGAAGTCTTAAGAGTGATCCTCAGCGGACTTAAAGATTGAGAAATATAAAGAAAACATTAATCCTTCTTAAAAAATAAAGTGCTGAATGTGAACGTTGCTGTTGAATAGAAACAGGAAATTCTGCTCTAAATGTGAACTGTTTCAGTGGGCACAGACTATGGAAAAGAAACAGCCTAGAGCAGTTAAAAAAGCTTGGAAAGCCCAGGGTAACTTCTAGTACAAAAGCATCGAGGTTTGTTTTGTCTTGTCAGAGAAAAGAAGTGGGTAAATCAGGACCTTATTGATTCTGGTACTTAGGTCTCCTCTGCTCCATTCAGATACACCTGGAAGGTAAGAGAACAAAATTAACGGGGCTCAGGGGAATGAGATGAAGTCTAAGTCCTGTGGAAGTACTCGAAAGCATAAAGCTTCACGTGGCGCAGATTTGGTTCAAGTAAAATAAACCATTTGAACTAGTAAAAGAATTTTTTTAAAATGCATTTTAGTAAAATAAATCAGCTAATGTGTATTTTTGTTAAAAGTTGAGTGAGTCTTAGTTTAGAAAGAAAAGGAGAAAATAGCGCACAAGGTACAAAAGTGCTTTGTTTTACCTTCAGAAGATCAGATGATGGTACGTCTGCCAGAGTAGGATTTCCACATTTCTCTTGATACTCTTGAATTAGGGCTGTTGCATCCTCAATGCTGTAGGAGGCAAAAGTTTATCAACTTTGTCAATTGAAGCTTTCTCAAAATGCCAAGAATTTAGACTACACTGAACTAAAAGAACAAGGCGTGATCCCATGTTTTTGAAGTCAGATAGGTCCCACCATTTCCCAGCAGAAGACAGGCCGTGACATACCTAGCATTTAACCTGTGGCTGTTAATAAAATCAATATATCCTAGAATGTAGATGGTTATTTACTGGTTCCTGTACCATTTTCACTGCAGAATAACTGGTAACCAATGACCTGCCTGAAAGTTCACAGCTGTGAGCAATGAGCCCAGGTGCCCTGAGTCACGGATTGCTGAGGAGAGCTGCCCTGCAGCAGGTTTGGGAGGGTAAACCCCTGTGGTTTATTTAAGTGGAACGCACCAGGTGAAAAACTTGGCAGCAAACGCACAGATTTCTAAGTTTTGAGTACAGGCAGTTCGTTTATTTTTCTAGAGTGTTCCTATTGTTGAAGCTGCCACTCTGGGATGTCACCAAGATGGATTCACCTGAAGGTAAGATGAAATAATTCAAAGTAAAAGCTTTTTCTTTTTTTTTTTGGTTTACTGCCTCTGTTTTAATTACTTTTGGCCTGCTTGACTGTCCAGGTTCAACAAGCTGTTCCTTTGGCTTGAATGACACCGTTAAAACTCTGTCCTAAGTATGCAAAGTAGCAAAGTGATATTTTTATTTTAGTTATTTAACTTAGTAATACTTCAAAAATTCTTGGAGATCATCTACTAGAAAATCTCCGTGACTTCAAATAAATGAAAATAAAATAAAGGAGAGATTCAATTTCAGTAGGTGCTATCAGTCACACATCACACCTGTCTTACTGACTTACTGGTTCTTTTTGGCAAAATAATCCACCAGTTCTTTCATTCGATGAGTTTTCAGCAGGTGTTGCTTCAACAGTGGAAAATACTTAGTTTTCAAGAATTTTTCGTACAGCTTCTCATTTATGATAGTGTCCAAAACCAATGATCTAATCTGTAGATTTAAGTATTAGTAATGGAGAAGTATTAGTATTTTAAACATAAGAAATTTTACTTTTGAATGTAAGGAGCTTGGAGTTTTCTTGTTGGACTCTCACAGAGCAGGATTTTTTATTTATTTTTTTTTAGTGCTGCAAAATTGCAGATTTTATGAAGACTAGTGTCAGATTCAGATAGAGCAGTATCTACCAAAAAAAGCCTCTGAGTCAAAGGCAAGTAAAGTGAATTTTATTTAATTACCTGAGAAGCAAATGCTACTACTTCTCCCATGTTCATGTGCTCATCTATTTGTTGCAGCACAGTTTCCGTGTTGCATGTCGATAAGAAACCCTGGCAAAAAGAAGTTGCAAAACATTAATATTCTGTAAATTATTGAAGTAAAAATTCCCACTTCAGAGCAAGTATTTGATTTATTCAGGAAATTGTGAAATTCTGGGTGCAGACAGGGAATTACCAAACCAGGATCCGTGCAGTTTGACTGAAAGAATAACAATCCTTGCTTATAACTGCTGTAGCTGTTAGATTTTTTTTTTTTTTTGGACTTGTTGCCAGCAGATTAAGTATCTTACATCAATGCTGTAACTTGAGAGAATCTTTCTGAGCTTGATGTTAATGACTGGAAGCCTGAGAATTTAAGATGCCTTTACTAGTGCCATTTGCTCAGGACAAATATGGGAACAGCCTAAAGTGATTCATCTGGGAGAACAATGCAGAGCAGAAATTAACGGAAATGAAGGAGAAGAGAAAGGAAACTGTCAAAATCCATAAAAAGTGAGGATTTTTAAGGCAAAAGATTTACATTAGAGCTTGTGGTGCGTACCAAGCATGTCTCTAAGTCAGGAGCTTTTAACTCAACACTTCTCTGAAGCAGGATTTAGTACTCTGGCAGAAATATGTCTATGGCTTGGATTTTGTGGTGTTTTGGGGTTTTTGATTGGTTTTATGGGTGTGACTCCATAAAACATCCTCACATCCACAAAGGGCCAAGTCATGTGACAAAGCTGCTGAGGATGACTTGAAGCTAGCTGGTTTTGCCTTTAAAACCAAAAAAAAACAAACCAAGAGGAAGTGTTCACATACATGATCCCTTTCAGAGGGACAAATGCAGAGTGAACACAACATGCTTAAAGACGTTTCCCTTGCACAAAACAGAACACAAAATTGTTTACCTGAATTTGTTGCTCTCGCTTCTCAGGCTGAGGAATCAGCAACAGGCATCCCAAGGCAAAACCTGGGAGGTCCAGCTGTGTGTATTGTTTAGCTATTCCGATGACATCCAAGTCAGCCACAACAGGACACCTTCAGAAGAAGATTAGGAGTCAAGCTCTGAACTCTGATACAACTGGATGGTTTAGCACCATCAACAAAATTGCACTCAGGTTTTTAAGCCGTATAAGACAGTGCATTTTTAACTCCTTTTCAGAAATGGCAAATCCAAGCAAGTTGAAGTTTCACAGAATACAAATGTGTGATGATTTTATAGCTTGGGGAAAAAAAAAACCACACAACCCCCTCCACTTTCTAAACGCTGTTGGCCATCTGCCCAGAGCAAGGCTTTGGTACAGATGCATATGCACAGTAGTGTGGGCATATTCTTCCAGTATTTCCTCATTAACTTTCGGTTCAAGTCAGGCTTGTTGGACAAGAAATTGGCAATGGACGTCCCCACCCAAACTAATGCGAATGTGGGATGTATCACCTACTTACTTGAGCAGAATCACAAAACACTCACAACATTCTTCTAGCTGTTTAGGACTCGGTGGACAAGAAGCTGAGAAATAAAGACAACATGGTAAAGTAACCATATAACCAAGTTACTATACAAGCATGACAGCTGGTAACAGCCCTACCTGTGAGAAATGGTGACAGAACAACGCTTCGCCAAGCTCGACTGAAGTTGGGAATCTGTTGAGAACAAGGTTGTGAAGTAATAGCTAAACACAGTTGTAACTAAGCTGACTTGTAAATACAGACACGCAGACATCCCGACGCACTGCAGGTAGAAGAAGCCCGTCAATTTTCTTTTCGTCCTGGGTGAACTATTCCCTAACACTATTTCTTCATCTTCTAGTCTATGATTTAGCCATGTTTGGACTGGTGGCAAAATTATTCTGTCCCTTTCCAAAACCCTCCAAGTGAGTGTTTACTGAAGGAACCACAAGTC